TTGAATGACTGAATCAAATCAACTCTCAATTCTATTACTCTCTAGTGAAACAAATTCAAAACTTGAAGCAATATCTTAAATTACTTAAACCAGTTTAACATTCTCATTTTTGTAGCCTGCCTGTGTGTATTTAGTTTCAACATGTTAACATTCTTCCACTAATAAAGGAATTAACATTCTATACAGTAATCTAAATGACACCTCATCTGACTCTTGTGCAAGATTATATTAATGTTACAGTATAGGTTTTACAAGGTTTTTAGTCTATTTTGTTTTGTACTGCAATTTTTTCATTATTTTGTAAGTTACGTTTAAATTGTTTTATATCTGATTTATGCAGTTGGCTTATTTTTAATGAAAGGTTTCTAATAACACAGGCCTGCAAATTTAAACTTCATGAAAGTTGTTTTGGTTTTAATAACAGATTTTCCGTAATTCAGCTATGCAGATTTTGAAAATGATATTCATTTTTTTCTATCTCACAAGGATCTTTTACAAATCGGGAAGAAAAAAACTCTTGCTTAGATCAAATTATTATTTCCACAATAAACATTTTTTATTATTACGTTTCTTAACAAAAATACAAACCGAAGAAAAGGGAAGAACATTTATGTCAAACGAATATGCATCCTCATTCATCCTGATGTTTTTTTGTGAAATCTACGTCTTTTAGTCTCAAAACTACGTGTTGTGGTCTTTCTTTTATGTATTGCATCTGAAGCATCTCATTTCAATGACCAACAGTAATCAGCCATCATGCTGATGTTCCACCTTCCCTGATACTTCCTCTCCATTTTCCTGAATCTTGATGAAACCTTTCTTGTTGTTCTTCACTGACGGCACCGAGATTTTCAGGGAAATAGTCAATATGTGAGTGTAAGAAATGAACTTTCAAGCTCATATTACAACCCAACTCTTTGAATTTATCAAGCATGTTATTTACAATATTTTCGTAATTTGGATCCTTGTTGTTTCCTAAAACTTTGTCAGTAACATATTTAAAGGCAATCCACACTTCTTTTTCAACTTTCTTCATTGTCCTTTCAAACTGTTCATCCGAAGTCAATTTCCTAATCTGAGGCCCAATAAAAATCCATTCTTTAAGGTTCGCTTCTGAAAGAGCTGGGAATTGCCCACACAGATACTTGAAACAGTCACCATCTTTGTCTAAGGCCTTTACAAACTGCTTCATCAAGCCCAGTTTTATGTGAAGTGGAGATAATAGGACTTTTTTTATGTCAACCAAACTTTTGCATTCAATGTTTTTCAGTCCTGGTATCAGGCATGGCCATTGTTTCTTTATCCAGTGCTGATTTCATGCTTTGCTATTCCATTCACAAAAAAATATGGAAACTTTGTATGACTGGATTGTTGACCCAACAACATACAAAAGACTTTTAAGTCTCCAAAAATTAGCCAACCATATTTCTGTATTTAATCTTATTAAGAAGTTTGAGATTTTTGTACATTTCCTTCAAGTGAACCGAATTAGCGATAGGAACAGATGTATATATGTTACCATTGTGAAGGAGAACACCTTTTAGACTTCATTTAGAGAAATCAATAAACAATCGCCACTAACTTGGTTCATAGACTGCAGCTCCTACCATTGATATTAATTCAGCAGTATTCTTGCAATAAACCAATGAAACTTCTCACGATTTCTATACCAGTAAAGTGATGTCCCTGGAGAAAGTAAGTTCTTAGCCCAGAGTCTAGATCCCAAAATCTCTAAAGAATCCTTTGGAAGGCCCAAATCTCTCACCAAATCATTAAGTTCACTTTGTGTGAAAAGTTATGGTTCACCAGACATTTCAGGTTGAAAACAATCCCTATCATCATTTCCATTGACATCAGATTCAGAATCAGATGAAACTGTATCAGGAGTCTCTGGGGGAGTAGGTACAGGTACATCAGATGCATGAACAACAGGTCTTATAGCAGATTGAAGGTTCGGATAAGAAAATTCCTTTTTATTTCGAGTGTTGTAGCCTAGCGCATCACATGAGCAAAAATAATAGTCATCTCCATGGTTTCTAGGTTCATGCCAGACTATTGGAGTTCTAAAAGGCAAACACTTTTTTTTTTACCTTTAGTCCATTGTCTCAACTCTTCGACACAAATGGTGCAAACTTTGTGAGGAGCCCATGATTTGTCTTAGTCCCCAAGTTTTATTTCAAAATATGCATAATATGCTTTTTTTGACAAATTCTGTAATGTTTTGCTTTTGTTTCTTTACAACAAATTTACCACAAATATAACAGAATATGTTTGGGTCATGTACACATCCTCTTGTTGCCATAGCAACAAATAAATAATATTGAAAATAAAAAATAATGTAAAAGTGCACATACAAACAAATATTATCCAGAAATGACAC